CCCCAAAACCCCAAAACCCCAAAACCCCAAAACCCCGTGTTCATTGAATCTATAATATCAAGCATATTTGGAATAAAAATTGAATTGAATGATGAGTCATTTTTCTATTGTCTAGTAATTCATGTAAAATCTAAGCCAGACTTTGGTTTGAATTCCACTTCTTCCTTATCTTACTTTTTAGATTTTGCTTGATTAGATTCTCCTCCTGTGAAATCTAGCTTATTAAGTGAGTTGATTACTCCACCTATAGAGTTAGCCTCAGGAAGATATATTTCTTTAATCTTAACCATAAGTTGATTTTTAACCTTGTCGAAAGGTGTCATTTTAGTGAACTAGGATACTTTCTTTGTAAAAAGAGGTTGATCTTATGACTCTACTGCTGTAATAATGTCCTATATCATAATTAGTCTTTAAAATCAATGCTTACACAAAGAAGTTCTTCCTCTCTTGAGCCATCAAAGTTAGGATCATCAATACGGTAGTTTTGAATCGCACGTTTAGCACCTACGAGATCATCATTGGCAAAGTAACACAATGCAGCCTTAAAAAACAAATCTTTAGCATTAGTCTTTATTAGAGGGGTATTTAAGTATTTTTAGGCCACTTTTTCATAATTCTATATGTTGATAGTAAAAAGAAGAAGTTTTTACTCACCTTTATAGCTTTGACTAATTAGCTGTAATCTCTTGTAAGAACAATTAAATCACCAACCTTTACTAAAGCTTGATTTGCATTAGTGGGTTACTCATCTGTCAAATAAAGTTCTGCAACCTTCTCATAGTACTTTATGGCTTCTTCGTAGTCATGATCTTCATCAAGTTTTTCAGCGCATTCTTTTGCCAGTGAGGCAGCTGAAGATATTCTAGAACCCATACAATAAGCATGAATCGCTTTTTCAGAATACTCTAAGAACTTATTTGTGTTTATCTTTTTCATGCAGTGAGCAGCTTCAAGGTAATATTAGGCAGTATCTCCCTCTTCTTGTTCACACTCAACACATCTAATGTAGCAGGCAACAGCTTCTTCCCATTTTTAAGCTAGTTTATAGCAATTTGCTGCTTATTAATACAAGTCTTTAGCTTCATCCATTCTATCTGATTTAGATGTTGTCAGATTTTTCCAAAAACCGCCTATAATAATCTTTATTAGTTTCTGTAGACATATGAATTTCAAATATTGGTTGTTAATTAAGACAGAGCAAGGAACTGTAAATATGCTTACCCTTAAGTTTTTTTTCAGCCTATGCTAGTAAGTTATCTCCCTTGCTACTGAAATTTGTTTTATCCATTTTCCTAGTAAGATTAATTATATTATACTATTAATATTGAATTGGATTAAATGTCGATCGGTTAAAAAAAATAATGCTGAACTTTAATAATTAAATTCTTTATTTGTTTACAATCCTTATTGTCTCTCTCGGCGTAAAAGTAAAATATTAAAGATGGAATCAACAAAAAATAAGAGAATCAATGCATTCAGAGAAAAGCTACAAACCCGTAAGCACTTTTAAAAATCCTACAAGATTCCTATCAGTAATATTTTTTAAATAGAGAAAACAGACATTTTAAGTATACCTAAATTTGGCAGCGTATTTAAACTTTTAACTGATCAAGATACTTATAGATGCAGTTATCGTCAACAGGCCATGATGGTTCAACAACCGTAGACGGTTTAATATAAAATGATTCATTCTATGGTTCTATGGGGAGTAGCAATGATCTAGCAACTCACACGACTTTGCCTTCAGATAGTAGTCCATTTAGAGAAAAATACGAAATAGATGAGGATGGTGAGCTCTTAGGAGAAGTAAGTTATGCGTGAAAATATTGCCTTGTTTGCTTATCAGCATTCATTTTTTCTGATAAATTAACCTCAAATAATAGGGAACACATTGTGTTGTAAGAGAGTGCAAATGTAAAGTTACGCTTTAAAACCATGCGGTAAAAATATTTAGAAGTGAAGACGAAGAGATGTTTATTCATGCTGAAAGAGAATTTAAGATTTTGGAAAAGCTCAAGGGAAATCCTAATATTGTCTAGGGTATTGAATATATCCCTGAATTCCTAAGAAGTAGAGGATATTTAGTATTGGAAAAAATAGAGGGTCAGCATATTCTCCATCTAATTGAAAATGGACCAGTGAGCGAAGAACAAGCAAAGACTATGATTAAATAAGTTATAAGCGCTGTTGATTATATGCACGAAAATGGAGTTGTTCATAGGGATCTAAATCCAACAAACGTATTTCTCGTAGACTAAAAGACTTTATAAATAAAGATACTTGATTTCAATGTTTCAAAACTAGTTGAAAATTAGAGATCTCGAAGAAATTCTCTTGATGAGGAAGAATCTAAAAGCTACTAATCCTCTCCCTCTAAAAATGGGAAATATAAATATTCCCTTTTTACAAAGACTGGGACTCCTATTTATTCCGCTCCAGAAATGCATCAAGCCTATAGATATACGTAAGCTTTATATTTGTTATGATTCAATATTCTATAGAGAGGCAGTTGATATGTGGGGAATAGGCACAATTCTATATACATTGCTGATGGGAGAGCCTCCATTTTATGAATCTTCGTAAGATTTCGATTTAAGATCCATTTCTAATCTTTATGATTATGATATCTAATTGAATTTTATAGTATCCCAGTATTAATGAAAAAAGTATAATCTGCAGACTATGATAGAAGTTCTCCTCAATGGTAAAATCTGTCACTACTTGGCTAAGAATTTATTATGGGTCTTCTGGAAGTCGATCCATTGATTAGATTTACTACAAAAGAAGCCCTTGCTCATCCATGGTTTATATAATGAGACACTTTAGTTTAATATATTTCGTCTAATCAATCATTCTTTCAATATGTGAACAATGATCACCATGTGAATTGTGAATATTTTCCACTTAATTACTGTGATAAATAAATAAAAATAAAATACATAGCCATCTAATAATTAATTTCACTCGTTATAAAATAAAATGAAACTTTGCTTATTTACTCTTACGGGGTTTTGGGGTTTTGGGGTTTTGGGGTTTTGGGG